AATGCAACTGGATGATGTTTGTACGGAAAGCAAGGTAACCACATCACTTTATCCTTAAAAAAAACTTTTTTTTATGTCAGTTAATTCAGGAAGCTTTATATTGAAACCATGCAATGTATGAAAACAATCAGGTCGTTGCACACTAAAATCAACTCTGTTTTCAGGACTACAGAGGAGCAGAATCTTGTGGCATATATTGACAACAGGAAGCTGTATTTCTGCACATCCAGAGAGATTCTGCCAGATCAGGAGCTGTTGTTCTATTACAGCAGGGACTACAGCAGACAGATAGGTGGGACTTCCTCTTGCATGGATCTGCCCTAACCTGTAAGAAGATAATTGTACTGTATATCCGTATATATTATTCTGTTTCTGTGTCTCTTCAGGTGTGCCTAGAGTGCCAGAGGGCCAGATATGTCATTGTGGAAAAGAGTGTGCCTCCTTCACAGAGTTGAAATCTCACCTCAGCAGCCATGCCCAGAGCCACAGCCCCACCCAAGACCACCCTGCTCACGCTACACACAACCAATCCCAGTCGCAGGAGAAGGTGACCAATGAGCCGTCCCGGTCTGCTTCCTCCCCACAGTGGCAGTGCCACTCCGATGTGCATGAACATTCCAGCAGCAGTAGCAGCAACGGACACGGTCGCGAGAGGAAGTTTAAATGCAGCATGTGCACACGAGCGTTCACTACGTCCACTAAGCTAAATGTGCATTTCATGGGGCACATGGGCATGAGACCACACAAGTGCAGCTACTGCAGCAAAGCCTTCAGTGATCCCAGCAATCTCCGAAAACACCTGAGAATCCACACAGGTAAATGTGCAAGTTGTAGATACTTACTTTTGAAAACTGTATTTGAAACTGTTTTCAAAGTCAATATGAAGTCTAAATGGATTTCCTACATTTTCCTATAGCAAGGTAACAACATATATCAATTATGATCAAATCGACCCTGTTTGGAAATGCATGACATTATGGAAATCAAGTGGCTTATGTCCTGAAGTTAATTTGTTTTCAATGAAAGAACTTTCAGTATAGAACTGCTATTAACTTTCTTTATTGGCCAGAAATAATGTGCTGTCATCATTACTGCTCTGCTCATGAAATACATGTTGTTTTTTTTCTGCAGGTCAGAAGAACTTCAGGTGTACAGTATGTGGGAAGTCTTTTACTCAGAAAGCACATGTGGAATCTCATATGGTTATACACACTGGTGCCAAGAACATTAAATGTGACCATTGTGACAAGATGTTTGTGAGGAAACAAGATCTCAAACAGCACATGTATTCACATTCACTGTAAGGCTGTATTTCATATTTTATTTAAATAAATATTTAATATTACTTAAAAATGTATAAATTAATGATATGCATAATTATATTAGATTATAATATATTATAATTAACTAATACTATAAAATATTATTGATATAAATATTATTAATACAGTCTAACATTTATAATATATATTATAAATATAATTTTTAAATTAAAGGTATTACATTATATGCTAATATTTTATAATATGCAATATAACATAACTACCGGTAATAATAGAAAATGTTATTAATATAAATAATAGTAACTATTGATTAATTCCAATATTTCATAGTTCAATGAAACCCTACTTTTTTCTGTAGAAAAATGGTTTTTAAATGTAATACATTAAATGTAATATGTAACTTTTACGTAATATATGAATATAAAATGCATTGAGAATATTGCATGTTAACTTTAAGAGCGTGTTCTCCAAATATTTTACTTTTTTTGACAAAACCTTTAAAAAAAAAAAATGATTTACAGATATATGGAATAATGTAATTTTGTCATACTTTTTTTTTCTTAACATATACTTTTCTTTTTCTGTTTTAATAGTCACTTTGTTTCCTTGCTTATCTCTCCTGTATTCCAGAGACCGCCAGATAACTTGTCCAAAGTGTGACAAACAATTCTTAAAGACCGACCATCTCAAAAAACACTTGAACTCTCACGACGGGAAACGGGACTTCATCTGTGAAAAGTGCAACAAGGGCTTTCTCACTAAATACCACCTCACACGCCACCTCAAAATCTGTAAGGGTCCTAAGATCGGTCGAGGGGCAGCGCAGGGTGAGGAAGGGGACGAGGAGGAAGACGAGGAGGAAGAGGATGAGGAAGAAGAGAGGGAAGCTGAAGGACAGATCAATCCAGCCAGCGAGGAGGACTGTGGAATGGGCATGAGAGGATATACTTCAGAAAAAACGATGTAACTTCACTCTTAAATGTAAAAGGATGAAGTTAAACCTTGTCTAGCCTATTTATTTGTCCTTTTTTTGTGTGTTCTTGTTCTGCCCATCAGCCTTTAATTCCTGTTGCCAAAACGTGTGTATCCCTATAAATCAAAGGGCCAACAGAAATGTAATTAGATTTAAATTATGCATTACGTATTTTCAAGTCAAGTGTCACTGTTAAATTTATAAATGATTGGTCAAAAGCGAACAGAAGACATTGCCTTTTATTTTTGTGCTGCTTCTTTCTGTTTAACCTGTTTGTTCAGTTAATTCGTTCACAGCAGCCATGCCTATTCTGTACTTATATTGTAAATAAATGAATGTTACATTTTACTATAAATAATTATACGTCATAGCTGTATGGCGTTATTTTAATGACAAATGTCGAGAGCACATTATTGTAGCGCGAAAGCACATTAATATAATGGAGACCAAATATAATAACACTATAATGAATTTTTCATATTTGCCAAAACATTACTACATTCTATTCTATGGGTTTAATGCATTTGCAGACGATGTAATTACATGTAACTGTCATATAACTGTAAATTCACTGTTTTAGAGGAGAGTGCCATTGAATGTGTAGCTAGACTTCAAACTCGACTCAGCAAGAAGGGCTCGTGAAAATTTTAAACACAACTTGAGTCTTTTATCCTTAACTACCGATATCATAAAGAAAATGTGAGATTTACTTGTATGGTTTTACTATAATCTCACTTATTTCCCCGTATGTTGTAGATCTGACTCCTATCATTTTTGAACATTGAGTGAGTGGGCAATTCATAAAGACAGTCACTTGCTTTATTTCAGAATGAATCATCCTTTTGAATGAATGAATGACTCTCTCACTTAAGACAGCGACTTGCTGCCACCTACTGGAGGTTTTAGTTTCGTACTTGGAGTATAATTTAATTAATTATTAAAAAAAACATATTTCAACATTCGTTTTTTAAAAACCCTTTAATGCCAGTGTAGTTTATGCAGTGTTGAATTAAAATATTTCTTTCTAAAGTTTTTTTTTTTTTGTAGTATATTCAATACGCATCTAAAAAATGATTTTAAATGACCTTTTTGGTCAAATTTCTCAGCTAAAATAGCATGTAGTGGCTACATCATGGTGTTACAGATTTGAATATGAACGGGCCTGCTGAAATTATCATCACAAGTTATAATGTATATACCATTAACGAATTTAGACAAAGGGGAACATGCCTGTTCCCTGACGGCTGATCCACAAAAATTGCGGGAAAAATCAAACGCCGAGCGGCAAACGTTAGAGGTAACGCTGGCAGTGGAATTAAAAAGCCTCTGCACCTCATTTGGTGAATATCTTTGATTTTCCGAAGGACTGTTTTGATTGAGACTGAGCTTTGTCTATATTTTCAAGTACAGCTGGACTTAAAATAATATTATTAATAATTCTCCTGGCTGCTTCAGACATCCTGTCAAATTTAGTTAATTAGCGAGTCGAGTTATGTTAATTATGTACATTAAGACTTCGCGCGCATTTTCGGTCTCTCTCGCTCACTTTCGCGCGCATTTTCGGTCTCTCGCGCATCTCATGTATATTGGCTAATAGTTTTAGCTCTATATAAGTAACTATAATTATGTCGTAATATTTGTGCTGTAGGCCATGGAGGAGTTAGTGGACGCTGGGTTGGTCAAGGCCATTGGCATCTCCAACTTTAATCGAGAACAAATCGAAGCCATCCTGAATCAACCAGGACTCAAGTACAAACCTGCCAACAATCAGGTCGGTACCATATACCATCAGTGTGGTTTCATTTAACAATTACAGATGGACCAAGAAAGGTCAATATTTATCTAATGACCAGCATTTTGCCTCCAGCAACCATGTAATTCAATTGCTCCTTTAATTTCCTGCTACTTGTCAAGGGCAGACGCAGTTATTTATCTGGATATAGGCTTAAAATGTCATTAGGACACTACTTGCATTGTGATCTGCAGGCCTAATGCTTTGTAACAGGGAGTGCTGTGCGTTTTGTTTTATGTTTGAATAATCTGGAATATATTATATAATATATTATCGATTATAATATTATATATAATAAAAAAGATATTAAATCAATGTAATTTTTTTAATTACTGTAAACTTACTTGCTGGTTTGGAATTTAAAGCAAGTCTTATTACAGCAGCAGCTATACTTCAAATTAATCTTCTTTTTTTGCCCATAAACATGGAAGTATTTGTTAATGCTTTGACAATTTCAAGCTGTTACTACTTCAGTGCAAATGTGAAAAGGCTTGCATTAAATATCACAAAACAACACAATTAATCATAAAGAAGTCTTTGAGAAACATTTGCACTAGTAACATTTTATTTGAACAATGTCACATACTTTGCACAATGAGGCAGATAACATGAGAAAGTATTGGTCCTGAGAATATATATATATATATATATACACACACTGCTAATGTTCATAATATGACAACAGAAGCACTTTCAGTTCGCAAGAGCAGCTCATGTTTAGTGTATTGATGTATGCTTTAAAAATCCAAATAAAGCTCTGTGTCAAGCAGTTCTCTGGCTTATGTTTTTGAATGTGTGGAAAGTCTTTCTCATGTCTTTAACAACTCACTTGACCTTTACTTAAACATTTAACCACATTCAGTCCCTCAAATGGCTGTATTACACTTGAATAAATGCTGATAATGTGGTTTTGCTCCTAACTTTTGTAAGGATAAAAGAAACTCCGATACTCCTCCACTGGATTCACTCAGCATGGTCAATAGTATAATGTTCTATATGAATGCAAATAAGATTTACAGTCATGTTTGGTTTCATTTGAATAGTGTCAGGGTGAGTGAAACAATGGTCTTAATCTTACAAAAGTAGACTAAAAGATAATCCAGATCCTAAGAGTTAAAAGATACTTTGATTACTGTAGAGGGTCATTCCATGCAAATTACCTTTTGTTCCCATTGAGGTGTAAACTAGCCACCCAGATTCCAATTGTTTGTACATGCCTCCATTTGGGGGATGTTTTATCTTGGTTTTGTATTTAAAGGATTGCCGCAAAAGGGTCAGCGCGATTCTGTAGTCAGAGAGCCTGTAGTATGGAGTGTCTCCACACACTCTGTACTATGTATTTTTCCAAAAGGATCAGGGCGATTCTGTAGTCAGAGCCCGTATTATGAAGTGTGTCCACACACTTCACACTATGTATTTTTCTAAAAAGGTCAGGTATGCATTTTACTCTTAGATTCGTCTTTGAGAATTTGATGTCTTGTATTGATTTGATATCGTTGAATTGGCTGTGGAGATAACTGGCTTAATACATATTTACCTGACTGATAATAAATTGTTACATTTGACTTGTTCTGATTTACTCTGAAATTATTTCCTCAAGTAGATTAAGTGAAGGCGTATGTCTTCGCAAATCTGTGTCCAGGGTTAAGTGCATACTAGATCTCAGGTTAGATGCATCAGGTGAGATTATAGGTTTATGACTAACCGCTGGACCTTAGTCTAAGTTGTACTCAGTTACGTTAACCATGTATATGATTTCAGAGTTAATTAAGTTGTACGAAGTTATATTAGCTATTGGGGTCTAGACAAGGAGTTCTAGAAGAACCGCTGATTAATGCCTGGAGTGTTAATTAAGTTGTACGTAGCTATATTAACTATCGGGGTCTAGATAAGGAGTTCTAGAAGAACCGCTGATTAATGTTTGAGCATTACGAATGTCGAATGTCAGAATAATCAGAGACCGACAAACAACCAATTTGCCTTTCAACCAAAATTCGAGGTCATACTAAAATGGAGTCAGATTGAGTTAAACCTAAATTGAATAACTCTGCGCGCTGAAAAGACCGAACACGCAAGTGACCTTCATCCACCACTGGATACCTTCCTTGGGCCATGTGTGTGGACCTTACACTTTCTTGCAGTCTCTGAGAATATCAACATACTTCATTTATCCCTGATGGGAAATGCAGGAGTCATATTTACTTCACACTGCAGTTAGAAACTGGATTTATTAAAGCTTTAGTATTCTGCATTCAATGGATTATCCTTATGCTTGGAAGCCCTGCAATAAAAAGGCAAAGGAGGCCATTAGTTAGCATTTCTAAACACCTAATATTACACAAATGGATACAAAGTCCACTGCAAATTAGCATAACGATGACTCGCCATTCCAGCATAAAAGCTCTCCAGTTTCTGTTAAAACTCAGTATGGTGTTCATCTCTTCTTTACTCAGCTCAAAATCAAAGACCTGTAAGAATAAAAGACCTAAATCTTAATAAAATGATGTACATGTTGACCATTTCTGAAAATTTGATTATTCTTGTATGTCTGGAGAACTTGTGCTACATGTAGAACACCATATGTACATGGTTTAATTAAAATGGAAATACCTCAAAATTCTCTTTGATTCTCTTAGGGTTTACAGATTTGGGAATGACCACAACATTCCTCTGCATGTGGAAGCGGATTAGAACCTGGAAGGAAAGTTCAATACTTAGCATGTCACATAATGGAGGAAGGCGTGTGTAATGCATATAGCAAATATTACAAGGGTCATCTCGCATTCAGCTGACAGGTAAAGCATTGGTGGATACATAACATGGACTTAGCATATCATAACTAATAAAAAACGCAAGTTTATACCTACCTGTGCTGTGGTTTTACTGTGCTTATCTGCAATGGCTTTGACCTTTGGGTCCTCCAGCAGTGATGGCTCACCTGCCTGTGCCCTAAAGAAAGTCAAATCTATATGAAATAATGTATAGCCATCTCACTATATATATATATATATATATATATATATATATATATGGTAATTAACAAACGAATGAGAGTACTTACCATGGTCTGGTTGGGGAACCCAGGGGACTGTATGCGGTGACTGTAATGCCTTTGGACTGACAGTAGTTAATCAGCTTCTCCTGAGTCAGATATGGATGGCACTCGATCTGGACATGAAAAGCAGCGGAAAGATTTTGGCACCAATGAACTACAAAGTCTTAATCCGTTTCAAGTTCTTCAGATTTATTGCAAACAACACAATACCTGATTATTGGCAGGTTTGTACTTGAGTCCTGGTTTATTCAGGATTCTCTCAATCTGATCCCGGTTGAAGTTGGACACACCGATGGCCTTGACCAACCCAGCATCCACTAACTCTTCCATTGCCTTTGTGAGAAGAAATTAACACTAAAATAAACAAAAAAAATTATTTTATCAATGATCAAATGTGAGTTACACAAGTCTCAAATCAATTTTGTTTTTATTATACTGTTTATTACCTCCCATGTTTCTAGAAAGTTGCTGTTGTCTGGAATTACTTGGCCATCCTTATCAAATGGGAAAAACTCTTTTCCAGGCTGCCAATTTTGATACACAGATAAGCATTAATATATATATGTACAGTATATATAATGCACAGAAAATACAAGCAATTATCATACTGTTATTAGTTTTATACTATTATATACTTATCAGTACTACCTTAGTTCCCATGGGAAAGTGCATTAGGTAGAGATCAACGTAGTCCAGTTTTAGGTCACTTAGGGTCTTTTCACAGGCTCCTCTTACCAAGTGTTTCTCATGGTAAGTGCACCACAGCTTTAAAAAATGCAGGATTTAGTTTATGGCCAAAGCCCCTTTCAAACTGTGTATTTGTTAAGCATTTTTCTACAAGTCCAATTGTTAAACCACAACTTGCATTTCAGTAATCAGAGCATGACGTAACAGAGCATTATAACACACAATAATGCATGTTATACAAATGCCCTGTGTATGATCTGTGACATGGTTTGATGTTGTGTGAAATTTCAAGGCACATGATTGGCCTTGTGAGACCATAACTCCTGTCATGTGCCTCAGATGTATATATATATATATATATATATATATATATATATATATATATATATATATATATATATAATTTGCTTATTAGTGCTTCACACTGTAGTCCAGTTGGTGGCGGTAAATGCACCAGAAGTTGGTTTGCCATCCGCCATAAAACGTTATTAGAAGAAGAAGAAGAAGAAGACGCCACAAGCTTTTATATTGAAACTGGTTTTTGTAGTGTCGTCAGAGAGCTGTGTTCACATAATCGTGTTTACTAAAATCCAAAACATTCAGTGACTTTTAATGTAATTTTGCGTGGTAAATCTACCAAATACTGTACAACAGAAATGAGCGGATTAACAAGTAACATCTGAAATTCTTGACTTCAAGAACAGCAGTTAAATGACTACATCATGGACATTAAATTCCCCAAACAAGAGCACTTGGGTGAGAGGATGCTGCAAGTCATTTATCATCTAATTTTCTTCATTTACAGATATTTGAACTTTAAATCTTTAGATGTCTAACCAAGCCAGCCACAAACAATCGCTTATTTTAATATTTAGTCTAAAAACTCAACCAAACTCCACTGATTTGTGCATGGTTGTTATTCTATTTTGACAATGGTTTAAAATTGAATTCCAGACAGAATTCCTCTCCCTCTGTCCGCCCTGCGCTTCTTGGTCCCTCCTGTACGCCTCATGTCTGCCTTCATGTGGAGAATTGTGCAGCAGAAGGATGTGATGCAGTATGGGATGCTGGCAGATTTTGTTTCATTGGTGTCAGAGGCAGTTCCAAAATTGGTTATTCGTAGACTTGGAGTTCAACTCATTTTAGGACTGCGTGCAAGGGTAAGTGACCACAGCTTAGGGTGACCATAAGTGCCATTTTCCCAGGACGCGTCCTGGCCAGGATTTCTATATTGCCTAAAATATCTAGGTTTTGGCTTTGTTTGCGTGTGCAGACCGATCGGTGTATGACATCTAAATACCTCGAGAGCATTTTGAAAGCATAAGGAACTGTCTGTATGGTATTTTGATGTCATACACCGATCGGTCTGCACACACAAACAAAGCCAAAACCTAGATATTTTAGGCAATATAGAAATCCTGGCCAGGACGCGTCCTGGGAAAATGGCACATATGGTCACCCTACCACAGCTGAGTTGGTCAAATTCTTCAATAAATATATTATTCATGGGAAAGTCATAGTCGAATGGTTGTCTGCTAACAAATACTCTTTTTCCTCTTGCATCTAGCTTGTTTTGGAGTTGTGTGAGAGAGACAATGCTGCTGACATGCACACAATCCATACTCACCTCAACAGCATTCAACTCGTAATTAGAATTGTTTCATCTTTATCACTGATTTTTTTCAAACAATTCTAGCTTTCAGTTATTGGGCTTTTGATATTACATGTTTCAAATACTGTAAAGTGTTAAAGAGAAATGAAATTGAGTGTGATGTCAAACAGGTGGATAACACTGTGGTGGGAGAAGCAGGTGTTTGTTTTGTGGAGCTGGTCCAAACACTTATTAAAGATGTGGATGAGAAGGAGCATTTCTTCCAGGTCAGATCTAATAAACATTATGTTAAGTGTTTTTTTTTATTTATTATTTTTGCTTATTTCTCTGTCCTTCTCTCTGGTTTCTACAGCGCGTGTTTCCAGTGGATTTCGGCACTGACTTTGACGCAGCCATTCGGGTCCTGATGTGGCATTTCCTGTCTAGGCTGGAGCACTTCCTGCCAATCCCTGACCTCCAGCAGGTGGGATGTCGTGGTCGGTCTAGATTCCTAGAAATTGTGTTTGGGAACTACAATCTATTATTTATCGTTAAATCTGGAGTTTTTGCAAAGATGACACTGAAAACCTGCACAAACACAATTTTTATCATCTTGTGTCATATTATAATACTATATTGTGAGAAACTATCCACTATCATCCATATTAAGGAATATATTATGAATATTTGGATTACTGTGATTTCAACAGTGTTATTTTAGCATTTTTTTATCAACTTTTATAGCTTTATTAGTATCTTTTAGTAATTTGCTTTTATTTTTATATTTAAATTTGTTTAATTTTTATTAATTTGTTATATGCTTTTGTCATTTTTATTAGTTTAATATTTGTAAATAGCTTCAATTTGACGTTTTCAGGTTTAGTTTTTCTCATTTAGTAATTTTAGTAATTTATTTAAAGTTTTTCATCTATTATTTATATTTTTATTTTATTTCAGCTTTTTTCAACAACACTTACAATATTTATTAAAAATGTTCTATTAAATTAGGTCAAAACATAATTGTATATGTCCTGAGTTTGCTATTGCTAACCTTCTGGTTTCAGACTCTGGCTTGGCTTGATCCACTGTTGCCTGTTTCAAAAGACTGTGAGGAGTTCAATAGTCAGTCAGATCACGTAAAGATACTGCTTGAGCACTACAAGAACCTTGGACATCTAGATACCAAATGTAAGAATTTGATCAAGTCTGTTTGTCTTCAACACTCTGCTGAAGTCAATGACAGTTACAGTAGCTACTGTTTATAACAGTATCTTTCCATATTGCGACAGACCCTTGTCAGCCCATGAGTGCAGGAAATTGCATCCTGTCCACACTCTCTGGTAAAGCGAGTGACATCCATCAGAAGAGAGTAGGTCACGTTCAGATGTTCGACAGACAGACCTTGGACTACATTCAGAAAAGCGTCGCGGAGTCAGTAGTAGGAGCATCTGAATGTACAGAGACTCTGGTAGGACCGGATGATGATGGAGAGCATCTTGTTACAGAATCGGAGTGTGCAAGAGCCGTGGCTTTGAATGATTCTGTGCTAACACTTCCAGAAGACCACAATTCTACAGATGTAATAGAGGAATCAGACTCTAATACTGAACAGTCAGAGTTCCTGTCTTCTCCTTTGTCTACACAACCAGTGCCTGAAGACAGTGCTGTACCCAAAATACTTGTAAGCATGCGCAGATCTGCACAGAAGCCTGTTATCTCAGAAAACAAGTAAGCTCATAATTTGCTTATTTGTTGTTGCAGTTTCAACATGAGTATTAGTATGCTCGCAATCATAAGATATTATATAAGAACATATTCTTGAACATATGTACGACTCCTAATGTCTTCATTAAAACAAACTTGGTACACAGAACAAATATTGTTTATTATAGTATAGATTATTGAAATTCATATCTGGGTTATGATGACTTACATGGGTCAGTGGCAAATAATAGTGTCCACAATTCAGAAAAGGCAGTTCTAAAACCAGTTCTTAGAAATGTTGTTTTCCAGTGCTGTTTTTGTTAACTAAAACTATTAAAAGTAATTTTCTGTAATTGAAATAAAGCTGAAGTAAAATATAAATATTATGAACTTAAACTTTAGAAAAGTTGCCTTGGCAACTAGCTGAAATAAATAAGTTTGAATTGAAGAAAATATTCAAACTTAACAGAAACAAAAAATAAATTAAATCTAAAAAAAATCACAAAACACAATACAATTACTAAAACTAAAATTAAAATGAAAACTTAAAAAAATATAAAAATTAAAAGCTTGAATGATAATATAAAAATAGTTGCATAGGGTTTTTAAAAACCTTTTAGCAATTTTCAAGAAAGAATTCAGTTTTCAATTTAAGTTTAGACTAAATATGTCACGTGGTATAACTTTCAAATGAAAAGTAATATATGTATTTCTTGTATAATACATCATACTTATTAATGACTGTACTTAATCATTTTTTCAACAGTGTTTTAAATGTTTTATTTTTTTCAAGGTAAATATATAAAAAAAAGTGAATTATTAATTCATACATATTACGTTTTTGGGAAGACATAACATGACATTTCACAACCTCAACTTGTGTGTATCTTACCAAGCACATCTATTGATTGTGGTACTATTGTTAAATGTTTTTAGGGGTGACCCTGTGGAGTCTGACGTGTACAGAGACTCTGGTAGGACCGGATGATGATGGAGAGCATCTTGTTACAGAATCGGAGTGTGCAAGAGCCGTGGCTTTGAATGATTCTGTGCTAACACTTCCAGAAGACCACAATTCTACAGATGTAATAGAGGAATCAGACTCTAATACTGAACAGTCAGAGTTCCTGTCTTCTCCTTTGTCTACACAACCAGTGCCTGAAGACAGTGCTGTACCTAAAATACTTGTAAGCATGCGCAGATCTGCACAGAAGCCTGTTATCTCAGAAAACAAGTAAGCTCATAATTTGCTTATTTGTTGTTGCAGTTTCAACATGAGTATTAGTATGCTCGCAATCATAAGATATAACATAAGAGTATATAAGAACATATTCTTGAACATATGTACAACTCCTAATGTCTTCATTAAAACAAACTTGGTATACAGAACAAATATTGTTTATTATAGTATAGATTATTGAAATTCATATCTGGGTTATGATGACTTGCATGGGTCAGTGGCAAATAATAGTGTCCACAATTCAGAAAAGCGGTTCTAAAAGCAGTTCTTAGAAATGTTGTTTTCCAGTGCTGTTTTTGTTAACTAAAACTATTAAAAGTCATTTTCTGTATATAAATAAAATATAAATATTATAAACTTAAACTTTAGAAAAGTTGCCTTGGCAACTAGCTAAAATAAATAAGTTTGAATTGAAGAAAATATTCAAACTTAACAGAAACAAAAAATAAATTCAATCTAAAAAAAATCACAAAACACAATACAATTACTAAAACTTAAATTAAAATGAAAACTTAAAAAAATATAAAAATTAAAAGCTTGAATGATAATATAAAAATAGTTGCATAGGGTTTTAAAAAAACTTTTAGCAATTTTCAAGAAAGAATTCAGTTTTCAATTTAAGTTTAGACTAAAAATGTCACGTGGTATAACTTTCAAATAAAAAGTAATATATGTATTTCTTGTGTAATACATCATACTTATTAATGACTGTACTTAATCATTTTTTCAACAATGTTTTAAATGTTTTAATTTTTTCAAGGTAAATATAAAAAAAAATGTGAATGATTAATTCATACATATTACGTTTTTGGGAAGACATAACATGACATTTCACAACCTCAACTAGTGTGTATCTTACCAAGCACATCTATTGATTGTGGTACTATTGTTAAATGTTTTTAGGGGTGACCCTGTGGAGACTGACAAGTCTGATTGCACCTCAGATAACACAAGTGAGTCACTTTCCCATTACTCCACTATTTATTTTGAGGTTCTGATGTACAGATGCCAAAGAGGTACATATAAAGAAATCAGTGAATGACTATGTTGATGACTGTTTCTTTTTGCAGATGGATCCTCTCACACTTACTCATGCTCGCAGTGTCCATTCAGTCACTCTCAGGAGCAAAACCTCAGAAGTCACATAAAGAAAGTCCACTCCACTGAAGTAATGGGAAGTGGGACTGCAGTTGACCCCAATTTGCCCAACAGCTGTCATGTTTGTGGCAAAAGCTACCACTTCCCGTGCTCATTAAAAGCCCATCAGAGCACCCACACCGGAGAGCGTCCTTTTCTCTGTCCAGTATCTGAATGCGGCCGCAGTTTCTCCCATTCCCAGGCCCTCCGTCGCCACAGACTCATTCATGTGCCCAAAGACATCCTAATATCATCAAATGATGTTCCTGAGGAAAACAAACCACAAAAGCCAGAATCCCAAACCTATGACTGTCTGTACTGCGGAGAGACCTTCAGCTCGCTCAGCGCCAGGAGAGACCATCACAAGACCCACCCTGAAGAAGCAGTGCATCGCTGCAACACCTGCGGGAAGCAGCTTAGCTGTCAGGCAGCTCTAATCCGACACAAGCGGATCCATGCAGAGGAACGACCCTATAAGTGTACCGAATGTCAGTCCACCTTCATTTGCGCAACCTCTTGCAAACGACACATGCTGACCCATCAGCCGGAGAGACCATTCATTTGCACCTGTGGAAAGGGCTTCACATACATGGAAGAGAGACCATACCGTTGCACGGACTGCGGGAAGGGGTTTCTGTACCCAGGGGCTTTGGCGCAACACCAGAGAACCCACTCCAAAGAGAAACCATGCCTTTGTGCACATTGTGGGAAGAACTCTAATATAGAGAATTCTCTTTGTTCACACTCGGACAGCCACGGCACAGAGAAAACTTTTAAATGCACCTTGTGCGACAAGTCATTCGTGTTCAAGGCCAGCTTGGCCCGGCATAAACTCACACACACCGGAGAAAGACCGTTCCTTTGTGCAGACTGTGGAAAGGCCTTTTTCACCTTCGGAGAGTTGCTCAAGCACCAGCGCTACCACACAGGACATAAACCTTTCCGATGCCTGGACTGCAAAAAGAGTTTTACGCAAGCGTGCTACTTGCAGGTCCACATGAGGCACCACACAGGCATACGGCCTTATTCGTGTTCTGAGTGTAACAAGAGTTTCTTCAGTTCTTACCGCCTTAAGAGGCACCTGCGGATTCACACGGGAGAGAAACCCTTCCAGTGCTTGGACTGCGGGAAAAGATTTCAACAGTCATATCACCTGAAAGTGCACTTCCAGACTCATGTAGAAAAGAGATCTGAAAGCAGGACGTCTAATGCTTCATTGATGGCATCATAATTACTGGGGGGGGATATAAAGTATTATGTTAAGTGTTTACACACACATTATGAATGTTTTTTTTTTTTTGTGCATATTTGTTCTCATACACACACACAGGTTCCTTTAATGTGGGTCAAATTGTGTTTTATATCAACATTAGGTGAAAATGTACCTTAGTCAGGGGTATATGCTTCATTTAATTTTTCACAAGTAAAAATTATGTGATAAGGAACTGTCCAATGAGTGTTAATTTAGTGATCTATTTTGGTGTTTCATCATGGCTAAAGTCAATAAAAAATGTTTTCTTAAAAAGCACATGCTAAAACGTTTTAATTTGACATATTACAGTAACTACAAACGTTTCATATTATAACCTTTAGTTATGTATTATATAAGGGTTAAATGACCTAACACCAACGAAATAGAAGTCGCATTCACCTGATGATTGATGTTTGGCTAGTTTTATCTAAAGGACGAACCTCGACTGTGCCTCGAAGGTAAATTGGAAAGCCTCGCATTGTCTTATTAGTTTTACAGTGTAAGTTTAAACAACATTATATACATAGACCAATTTTCACGAAAGCAAGATAGAGATAATTGATGTGCCTAATAACCTTTTATCCACTAGCCTGCCCTCTGCACTACTTGTACCGTCCGCCAGGTGGCACCAACACAACGCCATTTTAATGTGTTCCAGGTGTTCACTGTTGCCTCAGTGTTTACAGCAGCACCAGCAGTTCTCAGTAATACGCAGGTAGGAACTGGTATGAAAACATAATGTTTTTATCATCATCTTTCAGGCTCTGGATATAGTTATTCAAATTAGCAATAGATAATTTTGAAACTCAAAATTATACTCAAACCGCAGCCTACTGAAACTAATTTGGGTTCAGCTGTCATGTCTGTGGTCCATCAGCAAAGAAGCATTGCTGAAAATATAATCAAACTAAATAGACAACTGTGCAATTGTTTTTATTTCTTGCTGTTCATGACCCTAATAAAACAAACCTGGAATCCAGGTTTTAAATACATTTCAGTGCCCAGTGAAACCTGTGATTCAGAGACCCCAAATCAGAAGAAATGCAGTGTTTTTCATTTGATTGCTTCTGAAATGTTGTCATGTTTAAATTTTAATTATGTATATTTATAATATTTTAATTCTTCTGAATTCATATGCCAGCTTTGTCATTAATTTTAATATTAACATTAATCTTTCCCTCCAGTGAGTTGTTAACTCCTGCAACTCTGCCAATTGGACATCTGAAAATCTTGACATTTTGGTTCCTCAAGACTTGGAATATAGTGCACGAGTTTCATAAACTACTTTGTGTGAATACTCGAATGGTGCTTTTGCATCATTTTACAAGCTTGAAATCTCCAGTACCCTTCCATACCCTTCTGATGAAGAAACAAACTCATCTACATCTGGGATGGCCTGAGGGTGAGTAAATTGTCAGCAAGTTTTAATTATTAAGTGCACTTTTCCTTTAATTAAACACAAGACTGTGAGAGATACAACTTGTACATGTGATTTAATTCTGGAAGGCCTGCGGTTTTCTATTACAGTGTAATGAGTTTAATTAAAGACGGGAGTGAAAGGGGCACCCCATTTTTAAGTGACAAAAAGGCTATTTAAATGTTTGTCCAATTTAATTTGACACTCATCCGTAATTTCGCTTTGAGTCTTCTTCTCATTAGCTTTACAGAACTATGGCAAACACAAGGGCACTGTTCCCTCTCCCTCCATTTGTGTTATCTAATTTTCCTCTCATCTCAAACAATCAATTACCTGGCTGAAGTAAGCCCTTAATGCCTTTAGCTGGAAATTGCCTTTGCGCCCATGCAAGCCCAAATAAACCAGATTAGCCAGTGGTGATCGAATTCCATAGGGCCGAGACCCTGACGAGGACAAATTCTCTCATCTGCCAAACTCCTGCAGCATTCAGCTGATAAGTCTTTGTGTACAGCTCATGAACCGTGTCCCTGTTTGTGTTTTTGCTTTGTTTCAGAGAACGGATTTTGGAACCTGGTATTCCGGGGATTTGTTACTGAAGAAGTGAGGACAGATGTGAAGGTGTGTGTGTATAAAATCGAATTCTTCAAGCACTAGTATAACTAATCTTCACCTTTAAATACATGCTTTGAATCAGTCTGAATCTGTATGTATGTGTGTGTGTGTGTGTGTGTGTGTGTTATTTATGTAATAATTTATATTGAATTAAGATATAATTGAGTTGCATGAAAAAAAATGCAGATTTCCATACTGGATCTTTAAAGTGGCAGTTACTAGTGAAGTCTGCAGTCCGGAGTACCTGCAGTCAGAATAACAGTGATTTTAATTGGAGATGACATACACAGTTCGTGTAGAAAACAGAATGTGTCTAACTTGGCAGTCGTTGCAGTCATGTGTCAGTCTGTTTGGTATGCTCAAGAGATGTGGTAGTTAGTACCTGAACATCTGATTGATGAGAGGCACAAACACATCTTGACACAGAAACTCTGCAGTGTAGCTTGGGGACGCACTCAGCCATTTGACTGCTGGACAAATCAGATGTAGGGGTGTAAATATTTGTTCTGACAATTATTCAATTTGATTGTGATTCTTGAAATCAGTCGATCTGATTCAAGTATTTTGTTGGGATTATGTTGTAAACTAACACAAACAGACATGGAAGATTATTGAACCAATAATTTAAATATAAATGCATGTACAGTATAGGGGGATATAGATTATCAAATCAAACAGGGTTATAGAATAATCAATATATTAATGGTGTGTATAACACGTAAGGAATGAGTGAAGGCTAGTTAAAACACATTTCTATGTATATTCTCCAAAAATTCCAGAATATGCATAATAATTCACAGTTTGGGATGGAAATCAACTGTTAATTTGCTTTTAAAATGAGGCAGTTTAAACACAGCAGCATTAACTTTCTCATAATCGATTATTAAATTCACTACATTGAATTTTAATCATCAGATCAATGTATTTTTACAGCCCAAATCAGGTTGATCTGACATGTAATTGTTGCCCTAGTTGCATTTGTTCGGAGAGCATCCTAAATACATTTGAACAGGTGTGCAATGGTACAGCGAATATCCTCTGTGAAAAAGCAAAAAGACCATTTGTGGAAATGTGTATCAGAAAAGATAAAGAGACATGCTGTTAAGGGACACCACTGAAAGATACTTTAATGACACTCAAACTGGGGCAGACAGTGCATTTTGGTTTTAGGAAGTCATTAGTTTAGGAATGGCTTCACATATGATCAAACACGGTCCCGTGTGGGTCGTTGCCTGTATGAGGTGAATGTAACTTTGGTGTGTGTGTAGTGGGCTTTGTGATATTTAATAGCTCTTCTGAGACCATGATAAAGTTTTAATGCATACGTAAAAAGAGCCCTGCCTCTGCTTAATGAGCTAATCCGTTTAATGCTAACTTCACACCCACCAAAGAGTCGCTTGCAGTCTCCCCTCAGACACGAGATGGCGGCAGGACTATAAATAGACCTTTAATAGATTAATGCAGTTTCTGTGATTTGTTATTGAGGTCGGATGCGAGGCTACTAGGACTAGTGACAAATGAAGGTGATTATCAGATTATTGTCCGTTGCTCTTTCTCCGTCTCACTTCCTTCCTTTGTTTTTCTTTTTATCAATTATGAATCTTCAGATCTGCCTTTTTTTGAGTTTCACACCTGTGCCATGTGTGTTTCTCTGCACTTGTCTTGTCATCACTCTGGCTTTAATGATGAGACTTTCACTTTCAAACACACAGACAGGGCCGAACTTGTCAGCCGGCGACTGTGCTACTTTAGTGGCCAAGGGTTCTATGTTCAGATGGGAAGTTAGCACTGTCGCACACACTCATTTGAGCTGTGTTATCCCCTCAGAGACAAACCTGGAACCAATTAGAGCAGGAGGAGCCCATCCACCAGTCCACCAGAGGCACTTTCGGTGTGGAGACTGAGGCAGGTGCTACTGTCGCTCCTCTGGAGAAGTAATCAACAGCACCTCTGTTCTAAGGTGAGATGGGAAGCTTAGGAGAGTGCTGGGTCACACTTGACTGGCGTGTGAAAGAAATGTAAAGGGGTCTCAGAATTCTCCTTTGAGATATTTTTGCACTTGTACTATAAAAACATCCGACAGGTTTCAGAGGACATTTACATATTTGTCTTAAAGGCACAGTAGCAAAAATGGTTTTAAGAGACTGAGAGATGATGCAAAATGGTCAGTTTTTAATTTACTAGTCTTTACTAATATTATAAATAGACTTATAGTGTTAGTAAATTTAACACTTTACAGTAAGTTTACATTTTTTGACATTTGTTAATGCATTAGGATTCATGAGCTTACACTGAATATTTTTACAGCATTTATTAATCTAGTTTAATGCTAATTTATAAATTGGTATTGTTTGCATTTTAATTCATTAATTTGTGCCCATTGATAATACATACATGTCCATTTATACTTGACTTGAAATTTTTAAAATGTATTAGTAGTATAAATCAATTAATTAGTAATTAGTAAAATTAATATTAACCTAGATTCATAAAGGATTTTGTTCATGGTTAGTTAATGATACATAATGCATTCACTAATGTTAAGAAATTGAACTTACTGTAAAGTTACCAAATAAAAAAATGAGTGATATGGCCAATTTAAAGAAGGATAACTGTATAAATATATAGACAGATATAAAAATATAAAATATGAATAAAATAAGAAATTAAATAGATACACTACCGAAGTTTATGGTCGAGATAAAGTTTATGAAAGAAGTCTCTTATGCTCACCAAGGCTGCATTTATTTTATATAATCACAATATCAATATTGTGAAATATTATTGCAATTTAAAATAACTGTGTTCTACTTGAATATACTTTAAAATATAATTTATTCCAGTGATGCAAAGCGGAATTTTCAGCAGCCATTTCTCCAGTATCCAGTGTCACATGATCCTTCAGAATCATTCTAATATACTGATTTGGTGTTCATTAAACATTTCTTATTATTATCAATGTTGAAAACAGTTATGCTACTTACATTAATATATTTGTGGAAATCATGATACATTTTTTCAGGATTCTTTTATGAATAGAAATGTCAAAAGAACAGCACTTCAGTATTTGAAATCGAAATCTTTTGTAATATTATAAATGTCTTTACTGACACTTTTGATCAATACGTCCTTGCTGAATGAAAGTATTAATTTGTTTTTTAAGAAAATCTTACTGATGGCAAACTTTTGAACAGTAGTGTATAAATTACCTTTTGAGTACCAGGAAGCGATAGCGAGAGATCTGATAGACATCCAAAAACACTGCAAAAGATAAATCTTTATTTCTCCCAGATTATAACAGTAAAAAGTTAACAAGTGCAATTACAACTCCGCTGACCTCCACCCACCCACCCACTGACCCTATAATAAAAACAGAGAGAAGTTTAACAGGTGGACGGCCATATCACACTTCAACTGAGGTACCAACCACTATCACAGAACAAGGTGCTAGGCATGTACTACAGATTTACCGTAAGGCAATTTATAACCATTATAACTTATTACTCCAAAATATAACATACCTCTATTCCCTCCACGCGGGGAAAACTATTCGTTTCACCTTAAATAGATAAACAAGATCACAAGTTCTCCTCTATACACAACGCTGTGTGTTATTGCAGGTGAATACTCACAGCCTAACAGTAGCTACTTTTACCTATGTCTAGTTGGTTTCGACTCAATAGGGATAAAAAAGTGATGTCGCTGTATTTCTACACTGAAGTGACCCACAGGCATTTGACTATCAAGATCTACATTCTATGCAGTCAAGTTTCAGGTTCTTACGGTCAATAAATGAACGTTCTTTTTTATTATCTATTGCTTTATGCAGAAATTATTTCCCCGGCCTAAAATTTCAGTAGTAACAAAGTATTCTAAAATGGTGATGTCACTTCTTGGAAACAGAATTAGATCATTCCAAATTTAATTAATTAAATATTTAATTAAGTTTAAATTTTCTGGTCACTTTTCTGGTCACTCCATTGTCTATTGTACTTTAGCAATAGTCAAGTCAAGGTGCTTTCAACATGGCGAATCCACGTAACCCGATGCAAAATCTGCATTGCTAAATATTTTTTTGCCCTCATGATATTTTGCCCGCAAAAGTTCACAGAACAATGGTAAATGTGACCGTGCCTTAACACACTGTATGAAATAATTTTTTTATATTAACTGCAGTTAATGCATGTCTTGTTTGATCCTGTTGGCTCAAATTAAAATCAAAATAATCTGTTTCGCTACTTCAAGAAAAGCCAACCAATAGCTTCAGAGCAGTGCAAACATGACATATACTGTAGATATTTATGGACACAAACTTTTAGCAAAGTCCTATTCCCTGCATCTAAGTCCTAACTTCTGAAATGACAAGGCAAGTTAGTGGGCGTCAAAGACAACAGTCCTTCAACAGCTGTCGAAAAGTAGATCCAGCTGAACAAGCCTCCTCTGATTGGGCAGAGAAACTCATTTGCAGCTGTCAGTCTCAGCATCAGCGTCTTCATGTGGAGAAAATGCCATCCAGCAGAGCTACAGGAGGTAGCCGGCGCAGTCCGTGTCCTAAATGTAGATGGGACCAGCAAAAGATTCTCTGAATATAAAATCTCCATTTCCTGGCTGTTCCTCCTTTGTCATACTAAGTATATCCTTGGGATCAAAGCTGGATATCTAGAGAAATGGAGAGGAGAGCAAGATTAAAATTTAAATAATCTTATTATAAAGATCTTTTTTGTGGCTCATGAAGGCATCAGAGGTTTTATTGAGAGTATTAAATTCATGCAGAATTTTAGAATACAAGTGTGTATTCTCTGTCATTGATGTATGATGATCTTTAAAGGGAAAACAGAATCTCCCAGTGGAACGGATGTGTTGATTAGGCCCTTGTGGATGCTTTACTATAATCAGACAGCAGCTCCGTAGCCATGGGCAAGCCCGAGCACGATTGAGCATTGCATTCACAAACAATCTCAACCTGTTTACACGCTGATCTACATCACTGTACGGAGAGACAGCATCCTTACACTGAAAGATTTTGGATTGCTAATAATGCCTAATACAGAAGTCAGAGTGACACAACGCAGATCTTTCCCAAAACTTTCATAAACAAAATGAATATAATGTATTTTGGGAACCTCAGCTCAATGTTCTTTTCTCTTGCTTAAATACGAGCTGATGTGACACACATCTTGTGAGGGTTCAATACAAGTGACGGCACTTGTCGCATAATGTTGATTGCAACAAAAATGAATTTCATCTGGTCTTTTCTTTTCATCTAAAATCTTGGATAGATTGTGACACTTATGCAAGTGTCCAATCCGTAAATGTTAAAATAGTCACCATGTCAAAAGTATAACCACAAGACAAACAATATGCATATTACCACGATTTTAGTGTGAAAACTCACTTTCTAACCTTTCCTGTGTAAAGTCATCTAATTTTACAATGGCAACATAACCAGTAAAACTCTAAAATTAACCTAAAATAATGAGAACATCTTTATAACATCTCAAATAATACAAACAATTTAATAAGAATAATTTATGTAAGTGCTTTTATAAAATACTTCCATTGTAAGTGTATCACTGTAACCTTGAGTTTTGCTTTATGAAAAAAGAAACCATTTCGGTCTTCGTCAGGTTGTCAAAAACATTCAAACTTGAAAGTCTTTAAATACTGTACATTAACCTGAATAGGTGTGGGCAACAAAAAGGTCAGCTGTTAACCAGTGTAAACACATTGTAGTTTCCAAATACAAATAAGCAAGAAATCAATCAATGAGGACACATTATATACAGTATATATATATATCTCAGCAATATGCCATTCATCATTTAGCATTTTCGTTGTTCATTTATGTTGCTTTTTTCCATTTCCCATAATTATATTGAAAAAAATATTGACCATGACAGTCTTCAAAAACTGCCTTTGTGTTTCTTGGAAGAAGTCATGTGGGTTTGTAATTAATAATAACAAATATATTATGAATGTTGTTGGTTCCTTGGATTTGTTAGTTGGTTTGGATAAAAGCTAAATGCGTAAATGTAACAAAATGTTCTCTCTGGAAGTGTTGCTTAGTTAATGTCCATCTTGGCAGAGCCTGAGCGCACACTTGACTGCTGGTACACTTGACTTGAGTTACTTAAAAAGAGCATAAACATTTGGATCCCACTGCCATTTGAGTGAGACTTGTGAGTCTCATAAATGGAAATGTCAGATAAAGACAGAACATACAAACTAATCCTGTTTGTAATGATGAATGCCTGACTCCATTCGACTGCTGATCCTTGCACTCCTCTGGACGTGGTCAGATTTAAAAAAATTCAGTCTTGGCAAAAGTTTTGGGAATGTCCAAAGCTTTGGCCTACTTTAGAGAAGGGGCTGTCTGCACAGAGCGCCATGCTCATTTATAATGCATTACAGAACGCTTTTAAGCAATGTAGGCCAGGAGTGCAGACAGGTTTGTTGGTCTTGGAACACGCCTCTGAGGAACACACCACTGTTCATGCAGTTGAAATGTCACACACAGGTCTTCCCCCTAACTCATCCTGGAAAATACTCAAAATGGAGCACTCCAGATTTATTCACCCCCTCTCCACCAAAAGAAAAAAACTGAATGGTAATTGAGAATAGTATTTATTTAAGAAGTTTTCAACAAAAGGGTTTTTATGATTTTTTTGTGTTCTGCCAACATTTTCATTAAATGCCTGTTGAAGACATTATTAAATGCTTATTAAACCATTATGATGATATTAAATGTAATTATATATATACACAAACACACACATACATATATACAGTGGGTACGGAAAGTATTCAGACCCCCTTAAATTTGTCACTCTTTGTTATATTGCAGCCATTTGCTAAAATCATTTAAGTTAATTTTTTCTCTCATTAATGTACACACAGCACCCCATATTGACAGAAAAACACAGAATTGTTGACATTTTTGCAGATTTATTAAAAAAGAAA